AAATTATTTAGTTTATTTATTTTGTTAAAATGTGTGAAGTAAGTGAAATATATTGTGGAAGTTGTGAATGGTCATTTTATGGATGTTATTGTTTTGATTGTTGTCTCGTTCTACAAGGGAAAAAGATACTCAATAAAAGCATATTTGAAGAAAAAAAAAGGTGTGGCCGGACTATGTAGGATTTTCTTTAAAGGTCACTGGATGCCTACTAGGAGTCATTTTGATTTTTATTTTTTTTTGTATTCCAGCTTGAAAGCGAGGGGAAAAAGGAAAAGGTTCTTATTCATTCTAACAGCAAGGCCAAGCTCTCCAAACAAAAGGAAAAGGATCCCTCCTCTGCTCTGGATTCCTTCAAGGAGAACAAAACCAAGCTCAAACGTCGGGGTGAGATTGAGCCTCCCGTGTATCTAGGTAAAAACACAAAAACAGCCAATGCTCTATGAATGTTTATCCTTGGTCTGTGTCTATTCAGGCAGTTTGTTTTTTCGTTTGAAACCAAAAATGTAAAAAGCAAAAACACCAGTATTTTCATTATTTGAATGGAAATGAAACCTTTGACCAGGTTTAGATTTATTTTCTTTTTTTTCATGAGACAAGTGTGCTGGCCCTGCAAACTTCTCTTGCCCACAAAAAAACAAATTTTACAAGAGAGCTTATTTTTATTCTGTGGAAATAAACTGTTAATTTGACACCAGAAGATGTAACGACTACAAATTGAGAGGGTGCTCACTGAGGGACTGTTGAGCCTTCATTTTCCTCATCCAGCTTCATTTACCTCCCACAGCAATTTAGTCATTTTGTAAGACAGTTTGAACTTTTTGGTCCCGAACATCCTTAAGTTCTTCATTCTCTTCCTAATGTCTTTCCCTTCCTTCCTTTTCAGTGTCCTTTCCTTCTTCCTCTTAGGTCAGGGTTAAGGTCCTTACTTCTCCTTGTTTATATTTCTTCAGATGACGAGCCGGACTGTGGTCCCCAACATTATATTCTGCTAGTGGGATTCCATCAGCCTCGCCTGATAGGAGCGCTGGATGCCATTGGTGTTCATGTTGCAAATGTTCTCAAGCTAAGCTTTGAGCACAAAGAAAGCTTGGAAGAAGAGAAGAGCCAGGAGGCCGAGGAACTGCAGGCCTCTCCAGTTCTGACTGCAGGTTCAGAGTCTTCTCTACAAACTAGAATATATATGTAGCTGTGTGACGGTTTCTCTGATGTTCTCTCTGGTGTTTAGAGGATCCTGTAGAAGCCAGACAACTCGACCTGTTCTGGTCTCACCTGAGGTCAGTTTTAGACAGTGGAACAGCAGACTCTAAACTCCCTGATGTGATCCTGCTGAACTACCCTGTCCCAGATCTCACACCCCCCTTCCAAACACAGGATCCTCAGACTGCGGTGAGCA